GCAAAACTGAACATCACAGGAACTGAAAGTGATTTTTCCCAAATAGCTTTTAGCCTCAAAACATTCAAATCCCTTTTTGGCACCTATCAACTCCTTTTGATCCTGCTTCCAGTGATTTTGAGGACCTGCCTACTTGCCTAGAAGCACACATTTTTAAGGGAACTCTTTCTTTCTATGTATCTCCATGTATGAAAATTTAACAAATGATCCAATAAAAGATGGACACTTTAATTTCATTACCTTTGGTCCAGGCAAGCCATCAGAACCTGGAAAACCACGGTTACCAGGAGCACCCTAAGAAAAGCCATAGATATGGGATGATTATCTTAATTTTTACACACCTTATTGAAAATAAAGTACTAGATTTAGGTCTTGGGGTTTCAGTTCATTTCCTTACAAATTCCTTACTTCAATACTTTAAACTTGTCTTTTTTACCACTTGGAGTGGTAACAATGCCAGTGCTTCATTTACGCATGCTGAACAACTCCTTCTATGTGAACAGTCTTATTGAAAGCAAGGTGACAATTTGTACAGGATTAAGCAAGAAATCTGAGATTTGCCTGTCATATCTCCATCATTTATCCTACCATACTGAGGCACTGAATCCAGAAATGAAAGTATCCAGTATAAGAAGAAAAAAAAAGATAACTGTCCTAGGTTCAGCAGGAGTAGTCATTTTTCTCCTTCTTAGTAGCAGGTGCAGAGCTGTGGTTTTAACTTTCAGCCTGGGAACAACACTGATAACACTTAGTTGTTGAAGTGATGTTTACTCTGACCAAGGACTTTCTGAGTCTCATGCTCAGGAGAAAAAAATGACTGCTACTGCTGAACCTAGGACATAGCAGCAGTGGTTTGTGTTTTACCTTAGTTACTGGACTGTTCTTATCTCAACCTGTGGGTTACACTCTTCCAGTTCTCCTCCCTATCTCTCCAGGAGCGGGAAGAGGAAGAAGGTGGGGAGTGACAGAGCGGCTGCGTGGTTCTGAGTTGCTGGCTGGGCTTAAACCATGACAAACGGTATGAAACTACTGTTAGGAAAATAGTTGGACTATACCCAGAATGAACCTGCGATAAAACTTGTGGTTAGCTCAACAGACATATTAATCCTTTGGATTGCTTACCCTCTCTCCAACAGGACCTGGTGGACCTACTGACCCTGGATCACCTCGAGGACCTCTTTTCCCTTCTTCACCTATAGGGCCAATGGGACCCTGAGCACCTTGTGGGCCCTAGCGAAAGTAAAATATTTTAAAAAGACAAAATTACTGTTACCTTACCAATCCTCAGGTACATTGAAAAGGACTGTCTTCTAAACATGATAAATATTTTTCCAAATAAAGGAGGAAAAAAAATAGGTTCTGGATTATTTAAAAAGTGCAGCTTTTCAGCATTAGTTTTTCTCTTTTACAATGTTTATAATTTTTCAGTAAGTGCACTTCAAATAAACTAAATCTGCAGTTCAGCTGTATAGCGCTTCTAAAGTCACCTACTTGGTCAGACACAACAATTTGTATTTACTATTCTCAAAAGGGCAAGCTGCAAAAGGATCCAAAATTCAGTAAGACTCTAGTAGAAATTCTAACAGGAGAGAGAGTCAGTGGAAAGGAAATCATTACTTTGTCTGTATGTTTCTGTCAGTTATTACATGATCATTCAACTGGTGAGAGAGAAAAACTAAATATTGGTTGACAAGTCAAACTGATTCTAATTCTGCAGAATCACTTTTCTTTGCAAAATTCATATGATTACAGCATGGAATTAGCCATGCTCTCAAATAATCTTTCACAAATATTAGCTATGTGCTACACAGCTCTTCATACCATAAATGTATAAATATTCATATTATTTTAATGCATGAAGAAAATATAATTAATATATACATAACTGCATAAGTATAAATGTATTGAATACCAGTGTAAAATAAAAAAGGATGCTATTATTATGATTAGCATGCAGACCTGTGTGCTCTTAAATGTCCAAGATCACATGAATCCATTTCATAGGAGATTGGGAAATTGAAATACAGTCATTCTGAGTGTTACAGAAACCTCAGCAGATGCACTAAGTTTTTCCTGTCCTTGAGTCTTGTAAGGCCTATATTGAGTAGGCGATTTGTAACAACAAAGGATCTGCTTCACCAGTCACTTAGTACTGTCTAGTCAGGCTCACTTTGGTTTGTTCCACTATAATTACCCTCATGATTACGAGCATCAGAAGTGTCTTGAAAAATTTAAGAATCTATAAAATATTTCATACCAGCCTTTGTGATTTCTTTTCATCTTATACAATGAAGACTTACAGGTTCACCTTTAGGTCCTGCTTCTCCCTTGAAACCTGGGACACCTGGGTCTCCCTGAAAACACACAAATAACATCCATAAGATTAAAAGGCTGCATAGATTTTTTTGACCATTTTGTATTATGCTATGAAACAGAAAAACATTTTCTAGTTTAGTGACTAGCTGTAGGCACTATAACAGATGCTTATAATGTTTTGTCTTTCCCCTTAGTGTGCTTATTTATATATGTATATATTTGTTATCAAAACACACTTAAATTTGACAATTCCAGGAGATAACAGTTACTGTTTGTACAAGATTATACAGACACTCTTTTTTTCTTAGACCTTTAAGAAAGCAATCCCAGTATTTTGGGCACACAGAAGATTCACAAGATCCGATTTTGGCATACTCACTAGCAAGCTATTGATTTATTTAAAGGAACTCCACTGTTAATTGTAGAATCACAGTATGGTTTGCGACTGGGTTGGAAGGGAAGTTAAAGATCACCCAGTTCCAGCCCCCTGCCATGGGCAGGGACACCTTCCACTAGACCAGGTTGCTCAAAGCCCTGTCCAGCCTGGCCTTGAATGCTTCTAGGGATGGTGCAGCCACAGCTTCTCTGGGCAACATGTTCTAGTGTCTCACCACCCTCACAGTAAAGAATTTCTTCCTTATATCTAATCTAAATCTACCCTTTTTCAGTTTAAAGCCATCTCCCCTTGCCTTATCCCTACCTTATCCCCACCTTGCCTTGCCTTATCCCCACCCTTGTAAAAAGTCCCTCTCCATATTTCTTGTTGGCCCCCTTTAGGTCAGCTATAGGTCTCCCCAGAGCCTTCTCTTCTCCAGGCTGAAGAAGCCCAACTCAGTCTGTCTTCACAGGAGAGGTCCTCCAGCCCCCTGTTCAACTTCACGGCCCTCCTCTGGACTCCCTCCAACAGGTCCATGTCCCTCTTGTGCTGGGGACCCCAGAGCTGGACACAGTACTCAGGATTGTGCCTCACGAGAGCCAAGCAGACAGGGAGAATCACCTCCTTCAACCTGCTGGCCACTCTCATCCTGATGCAGCTCAGGATACAGGTCACTGTTTTAGTTTCATAGACTGACACATTTGCAAGACATGACAATTTCGACAAAGACATCATTACCGGCTGGCCCACCCGTTGGACCAGTACTGCCTTGTGGTCCTGGGAACCAGGTGGACCTGATAAACCAAGGGGGCCTCCAGTCCCTGGAGATCCCTACAGATACAAACAAAAGCAACTACAGTAAGGAAACATAATAAAAACAAGAAAATAAAGTGAATACACTTACATGATTTCTTCAATAGGTGGTAAGATTACTTACAGTAGGGCCCTTAGCACCTGGGGAACCATCTGTCCCTTCAGTACCCTATAGATAACATACCAATCATTAAAATTAATTCTAATGAGAAGGATATTGATAACAAAAGCAGATGATAATTATTTTATCCACTTTGACCAATAAAGTCTGGTCTCATAAGACATTAAATTAAATAAATACAGTAACATATATGATCTACTTGTGTAAATGCCAATTGGAGTAACAATGCAAGCAAGTTAATGTGATTCTTAATCTTTAAGATCTTAAGTTTAAGATTTAAAGTACTTTAGGATTGAGACTATATAAAGCTTCAGTTTTCCAAGTTGTTTTAATTAATCAATGAAAAGTTATTTTCAACAAAATAAGCACAAAACAAACGAATGAGACCTTTCCATTCCTGAGAAAAAAGTAATTTGAGTACAAACCAATGTCTATGAAGTTGGGTATTAGAACTCCTCACAAACAAGCAACATGCACAAACTAAGCACTGAGAGGCTCAGTTTAATGTACTTACAGGAAGACCTTGCGATCCAGCTGGGTGTGGACCTGTTTCACCTCTTTGTCCTTGAAGCAAGGCAAGGTGGGGACATAAGCAATTATTCTGCTCTACAAAGTAGGCTATAAGTAAATAAGGGGAATGGCTTTTAAAGTTTACATTCACATAAAAGTTTGTGTAAGGATTGAAAATTCTGAATTTTTTTTATAAAATCAGTATTCCTCCTTATTTACTTCATAGCATATAAGCAGAATAAATTCTATGAAATCTAGGGTGGTCCAACAGGACCTCGTAGACAAGGACAAAGAGGTGAACACAGGTCCACAGGGCCCAGCTGGATCGCAAGGTCTTCCTGTAAGAGAAGCTTAGTTTGTGTGGCTGCACCATCAACTTCATAGAAGTACTCAAATTACTTTTTTCTCAGGAATGGAAAGGCCATTCGTTTGTTTTGTGCTGTTGAAAATAACTTTTCATTGATTAATTAAAACAACTTGGAAAACTGAAGGTACACAGCTTTATATAGTCTCAATCCTAGAAATACTTTCTTAAATCTTAAACTTAAGATCTTAAAGATTAAGAATCACATTAACTTGCTTGCATTGTTACTCCAATTGGCATTTACACAAGTAGATCATATATGTTACTGTATTTATTTAATTTAATGTCTTATGAGACCAGACTTTATTGGTCAAAGTGGATAAAATAATTATCATCTGCTTTTGTTATCAATATCCTTCTCATTAGAATTAATTTTAATGATTGGTATGTTATCTGTAGGGTACTGAAGGGACAGATGGTTCCCCAGGTGCTAAGGGCCCTACTGTAAGTAATCTTACCACCAGAAATCATGTAAGTGTATTCACTTTATTTTCTTGTTTTTATTATGTTTCCTTACTGTAGTTGCTTTTCTTTCTATCTGTGGATCTACAGGGACTGGAGGCCCCCTTGGTTTATCAGGTCCAGTTCCCCAGGACCACAAGGCAGTACTGGTCCAACGGGTATTCGAGGCCAGCCGGTAATGATGTCTTTGTCGAAATTGTCATGTCTTGCAAATGTGTCAGTCTATGAAACTAGTGACCTGTATCCTGAGCTGCATCAGGATGAATGGCCAGCAGTTGAAGGAGGTGATTCTCCCTGTCTGCTTGGCTCTCGTGAGGCACAATCCTGAGTACTGTGTCCAGCTCTGGGGTCCCCAGCACAAGAGGGACATGGACCTGTTGGAGGGAGTCCAGAGGAGGGCCGTGAAGTTGAACAGGGGGCTGGAGGACCTCTCCTGTAAAGGCTTCTTCAGCCTAAGAGAAGGCTCTGGGGAGACCTATATATATATGGAGAGGGACTTTTTACAAGGGTGGGGAAACAAGGCAAGGTGGGGATAAGGTAGGGATAAGGCAAGGGAGATGGCTTTAAACTGTAGATTTAATTGTAAGGAAGAAATTCTTTACTGTGAGGGTGGTGTTGTTGCCCAGAGAAGCTGTGGCTGCACCATCCCTAGAAGCATTCAAGGCCAGGCTGGACAGGGCTTTACAACCTGGTCTATAAGGTGTCCCTGCCCATGGCAGCTGGAACTGGGTGATCTTTAACTTCCCTTCCAACCCAGTCGCAAACCATACTGTGATTCTACAATTAACAGAGTTCCTTTAAATAAATCAATAGCTTGCTAGTGAGTATGCCAAAATCGGATCTTGTGAATCTTCTGTGTGCCCAAAATATGGGATTGCTTTCTTAAAGGTCTAAGAAAAAAGAGTGTCTGTATAATCTTGTACAAACAGTAACTGTTATCTCCTGGAATTGTCAAATTTAAGTGTGTTTTGATAACAAATATATACATATATAAATAAGCACACTAAGGGGGAAAGACAAAACATTATAAGCATCTGTTATAGTGCCTACAGCTAGTCACTAAACTAGAAAATGTTTTTCTGTTTCATAGCATAATACAAAATCAAAAAAATCTATGCAGCCTTTTAATCTTATGGATGTTATTTGTGTGTTTTCAGGGAGACCCAGGTGTCCCAGGTTTCAAGGGAGAAGCAGGACCTAAAGGTGAACCTGTAAGTCTTCATTGTATAAGATGAAAAGAAATCACAAAGGCTGGTATGAATATTTTATAGATTCTTAAATTTTTCAAGACACTTCTGATGCTCGTAATCATGAGGGTAATTATAGTGGAACAAACCAAAGTGAGCCTGACTAGACAGTACTAAGTGACTGGTGAAGCAGATCCTTTGTTGTTACAAATCGCCTACTCAATATAGGCCTTACAAGACTCAAGGACAGGAAAAACTTAGTGCATCTGCTGAGGTTTCTGTAACACTCAGAATGACTGTATTTCAATTTCCCAATCTCCTATGAAATGGATTCATGTGATCTTGGACATTTAAGAGCACACAGGTCTGCATGCTAATCATAATAATAGCATCCTTTTTTATTTTACACTGGTATTCAATACATTTATACTTATGCAGTTATGTATATATTAATTATATTTTCTTCATGCATTAAAATAATATGAATATTTATACATTTATGGTATGAAGAGCTGTGTAGCACATAGCTAATATTTGTGAAAGATTATTTGAGAGCATGGCTAATTCCATGCTGTAATCATATGAATTTTGCAAGAAAAGTGATTCTGCAGAATTAGAATCAGTTTGACTTGTCAACCAATATTTAGTTTTTCTCTCACCAGTTGAATGATCATGTAATAACTGACAGAAACATACAGACAAAGTAATGATTTCCTTTCCACTGACTCTCTTCTCCTGTTAGAATTTCTACTAGAGTCTTACTGAATTTTGGATCCTTTGCAGCTTGCCCTTTTGAGAATAGTAAATACAAATTGTTGTGTCTGACCAAGTAGGTGACTTTAGAAGCGCTATACAGCTGAACTGCAGATTTAGTTTATTTGAAGTGCACTTACTGAAAAATTATAAACATTGTAAAAGAGAAAAACTAATGCTGAAAAGCTGCACTTTTTAAATAATCCAGAACCTATTTTTTTTCCTCCTTTATTTGGAAAAATATTTATCATGTTTAGAAGACAGTCCTTTTCAATGTACCTGAGGATTGGTAAGGTAACAGTAATTTTGTCTTTTTAAAATATTTTACTTTCGCTAGGGCCCACAAGGTGCTCAGGGTCCCATTGGCCCTATAGGTGAAGAAGGGAAAAGAGGTCCTCGAGGTGATCCAGGGTCAGTAGGTCCACCAGGTCCTGTTGGAGAGAGGGTAAGCAATCCAAAGGATTAATATGTCTGTTGAGCTAACCACAAGTTTTATCGCAGGTTCATTCTGGGTATAGTCCAACTATTTTCCTAACAGTAGTTTCATACCGTTTGTCATGGTTTAAGCCCAGCCAGCAACTCAGAACCACGCAGCCGCTCTGTCACTCCCCACCTTCTTCCTCTTCCCGCTCCTGGAGAGATAGGGAGGAGAACTGGAAGAGTGTAACCCACAGGTTGAGATAAGAACAGTCCAGTAACTAAGGTAAAACACAAACCACTGCTGCTATGTCCTAGGTTCAGCAGTAGCAGTCATTTTTTCTCCTGAGCATGAGACTCAGAAAGTCCTTGGTCAGAGTAAACATCACTTAGCAACAACTAAGTGTTATCAGTGTTGTTCCCAGGCTGAAAGTTAAAACCACAGCACTGCACCAGCTACTAAGAAGGAGAAAAATGACTACTCCTGCTGAACCTAGGACAGTTATCTTTTTTTTTCTTCTTATACTGGATACTTTCATTTCTGGATTCAGTGCCTCAGTATGGTAGGATAAATGATGGAGATATGACAGGCAAATCTCAGATTTCTTGCTTAATCCTGTACAAATTGTCACCTTGCTTTCAATAAGACTGTTCACATAGAAGGAGTTGTTCAGCATGCGTAAATGAAGCACTGGCATTGTTACCACTCCAAGTGGTAAAAAAGACAAGTTTAAAGTATTGAAGTAAGGAATTTGTAAGGAAATGAACTGAAACCCCAAGACCTAAATCTAGTACTTTATTTTCAATAAGGTGTGTAAAAATTAAGATAATCATCCCATATCTATGGCTTTTCTTAGGGTGCTCCTGGTAACCGTGGTTTTCCAGGTTCTGATGGCTTGCCTGGACCAAAGGTAATGAAATTAAAGTGTCCATCTTTTATTGGATCATTTGTTAAATTTTCATACATGGAGATACATAGAAAGAAAGAGTTCCCTTAAAAATGTGTGCTTCTAGGCAAGTAGGCAGGTCCTCAAAATCACTGGAAGCAGGATCAAAAGGAGTTGATAGGTGCCAAAAAGGGATTTGAATGTTTTGAGGCTAAAAGCTATTTGGGAAAAATCACTTTCAGTTCCTGTGATGTTCAGTTTTGCTTGCTTGTCCCTGACTTAATGCTCCCTCCTGCTGAAATATGGATAGATTTGACCTGTTCTACTATTTTTTTCTTAATGTATTGCTCTGTAGCAGGTAACTGTATGAAAGCCTTTTCTTTGTGTGTGGACTGTTTTTCCTAGACTTGTCCCTTGAACGGATGTGCGTATCTGTCTTTGGCTTTCCTATCTTTTTTTAACACTTCCAGGAAACTGACTCACATATTTATTGGTCTAGTGTTTCTGTAAATCCCTGACTTGGTAAAAATGCAGGGATTCTAAAATTCCCAAAATATTTTTTTTTAATTGAAGAGACAATTTTTAAATAATAATTCCAAAAAAATAGTAGTAATAATAAGCATTAATTATTTGGAACTCTTGTTTGCAAAAAAATAGATACCTAATAGAAGATACCTGTTTTATTTAACCTTCCCTTACAGTTGCTGTTTCACCTCTTAACTTGTAGCCTAATGGTATCTTTCTAGGGTACCCAAGGGGAGCGTGGTCCTGCAGGTTCTTCTGGTCCTAAAGGAGGTCAGGGAGATCCTGGGCGTCCTGGTGAACCTGGCCTCCAGGGTGCAAGGGTAAGAAACTAATAGCAGTACACTATAAACGACAGCATTTTTCATTTTCAGAAAGCAACAATGAACTTTGCAGAATTAAGAAGCTGCTATAGAAGGACAGACTTGTTTCAGTGGAGCTATTTAAAGGGTAAAGGCCAAAATGTCTGTCTTCCTGCTGATGTTGGTAAGCACACGTTCCACTTGCCTCTGAAGAAGGAGAAATCCACCTTAATTAGGACCAGCCAGTGGAACTGAAGGGGGTGTGCTTGTAAAGCACATAGTTGCCACAGATAACATGAACTAAGGGCCAAGTTAATTGAAGTCTAACCTTCATTAAACTGGTGATTGATAGTTGAGTGGTGCATGTCATCTAGAGAATTTTTCAGGAAAAATATTTGAGGAGAATTTGGAATATCACAAAAGCAGAGAAAGGGATGTTACAGATAGATAATGGCAGAAACTAAAGATGGCCCTGTGAGGAGCTTGAGAGGTGTAAAAGCAAAAATAGGGAAAATAGAATAGGAAAAAGGAAGATCAAAGACAGTGAGGGATGAGGCTT